AACAATCCGCCCACCTCGGCCTCCCAGAGTGCTAGGATTACAGGCACGAGCCACCGCACCCGGCCCTGCCCTATTCTTGACTTCTCTCTTCCCTTCATTCCTAATTTCCAGTAAGTCCCTAAATTCTGATTCTACCTTTCAAATAGGTCTTGAATCTATCCCCTCCTTTTATTGATTGATTGGTTGAGAGTTGCAGCAGCAGAAAGAGGCATTTTTATTGCAAGGTGCCATGCAAGGAGAATGAAAAGCTAGTGCTTAAAACTCCAACTCCTTGATGGCTTGTGAACCCAATCCGACCATCATGTTTCTCACCTGGTAGCTTCAGGTTTACATACGTTACAGCAACAATCTATTCTCTAGGGGAAGAACAAAACACATGCTGGATAAAAACTGTTTTCTTTTAAGCAATTTTAAAATGAGTATACTGTTCTGGATGTTTTTTTTTTTGTTTTTTTTGTGTTTTTTTTTTTGCCATCTAGATAGGAGCCATGGCTTTGGAAGACAACCAGTCAACAGATTACTATTATGAGGAAAATGAACTGAATGGCACTCATGACTACAGCCAGTATGAAATGATATGTATTAAAGAAGAAGTCAGAAGATTTGCAAAAGTTTTTCTCCCTGTCTTCCTCACAATAGCTTTCATCATTGGACTTGCAGGCAATTCCATAGTAGTGGCAATTTATGCCTATTACAAGAAACTGAGAACCAAAACAGATGTGTACATCCTGAATTTGGCTGTGGCAGATTTACTCCTTCTATTCACTTTGCCTTTTTGGGCAGTTAATGCAGTTCATGGGTGGGTTTTAGGGAAAATGATGTGTAAAGTCACTTCAGCCTTATACACAGTAAACTTTGTCTCTGGAATGCAGTTTCTGGCTTGTATTAGCATAGACAGATATTTGGCAGTAACTAAAGCCCCCAGTCAATCAGGAGTGGGAAAACCATGTTGGATCATCTGTTTCTGTGTCTGGATGGCTACCATCTTGCTGAGTATACCCCAGCTGGTTTTTTATACAGTAAACGACAATGCTAGGTGCATTCCCATCTTTCCCCACCACCTGGGAACATCAATGAAAGCATCTATTCAAATGCTAGAAATCTGTATCGGATTTGTAGTACCCTTCCTTATTATGGGGGTGTGCTACTTTATCACAGCAAGGACACTCATCAAGACGCCAAATATTAAAAAGTCTCGACCCCTCAAAGTCCTGCTCACAGTGGTTATAGTCTTCATTGTCACTCAGCTGCCTTATAACATTGTCAAGTTCTGCCGAGCCATAGACATCATCTACTCGCTGATCACTGACTGTGACATGAGCAAACGCATGGACGTGGCCATCCAAATCACAGAAAGCATCGCTCTCTTTCACAGCTGCCTCAATCCAGTCCTTTATGTTTTTATGGGAGCCTCTTTTAAAAACTACATTATGAAAGTGGCCAAGAAATATGGGTCGTGGAGGAGACAGAGACAAAATGTGGAGGAGATTCCTTTTGATTCTGAGGGTCCTACAGAGCCAACAAGTACTTTTAGCATTTAAATATAAAACTGCTCGGCCTTTTGCTTGGATACACATGAATGATGCTTCTTCCTCAGATAAAACATCTGCGTTATTCTGAAACTCAAATCTCAAACACTGTGCTCGTAACTTATAACAAAGAGGGGGTTGGGAGAGGGGGAGGATGGAAGCCAACAAGAAGAGGAAATGAAATACTAGCTGTACAAAACAAGAAAATTAATATTAACAATACAGGAAAATAGTAATAGGCATAAATCGATAAAACACTGTTTTATAAAGAAGAAGATCTTTGTGTTCATGGGATGGTTTTGTATCTTGATTGTGTAGTGGTTACACAAATCTACACATGTGATAAAATGACATAGAACTATATACATGTATTGTACCAATTTCAGTTTTCTGGTTTTGATATTATACTATAATTATGTAAGATGGAACCATTGGGGAAAACTGGATAAAAGGTACCTGGGATCACTCTGTACTATCTCTGCAATTCCCTGTGAATTTATAATAATTTCAAAATAAAAGAAGTTTTTAAGAAGGAAAAAACTCCCACTATGCTATAAATTAGGCCATCTAAAACAGATTAATAAGGAGGCTCATGTTAAGAGGCATGTATAATTATTTTTAATTATCTAAATTTTAATACAAGAACAATTTCCCTGTATAATTTTGGTACCTGAATAACTATGTAGCAAAACTTGATTTTTTTCTGTTTTTTTTTTTGAGACAGAGTCTTGCTCTGTTGCCGGGGCTAGAGTGCCGTGGCATCAGCCTAGCTCACAGCAACCTCAAACTCCTGGGCTCAAGTGATCCTTCTGCCTCAGCCTCCCGAGTA